GGGTTTAGCGCTTTGGGTTTAGGGGTTTAGGCTTTAGTGTAGGATCCATCTTATGGAAACTTCATGAATTTCTGTCTATAAGAGGTTCAGGGTTTAGGGTTTTGGGGTTTAGGCTTTAGGGCCTCAGGGTTTAGGGATTTAAAGGCTTAAAGGGGCTTTCGCATGTTGCAGCTGAAGCTTCGGTTGTGCTTGTTCAGGCCTAAAGTTAAGGTTTAGGGTTTAGGGGTTAGGTTTAGGGTTTAGGGTTTAGGGTTTAAGGGGTCTAGGGCCCAAAGGACCTAGTCATGAGGTACTTGGGCCTACGGATAGTAGGTTTGTAGGCTACTACTTGGGTAGTTCTCTGAATTAGTGTTTTTTAAGGGTCTTTTTTTATAAGGGTGCCGTACTATATTGGGGAACCAAACAGGGACCCTAGTTTCGAGAACTACCCATTTGGGAGAGGATATGGTTCTTGGGTACTCGGACTCTTGGGTTAAGGTTATAAGGGCTTAGACTTAAGGGCATAGGGCCTGCTGCTTTGGGCTACTTTTTTTGGCTCTTTCGGAGGCGATGGGTTTGCCGTTTATGTATTGCGGCTTACGGGTTTGTGGCTGTGGGGTCCTAAACCCGCCTAAACCCTCAAACCTAAACCCTAAATCTTAAACCCCAAACCGTGCGGTTTTTGGGGCTTGGACCTGGGAGTTCAAAAAAGCTCCAAAACAAAATCACCTAGGGGCCTTGGTATTTAGAATAGGGTTTTGGCGTATATCATACCATACTGACGGGAGCCCCCCAAAATAGTAGTGGTAATTATTCCGGCCCCCATTTCCGCTCGAATGCAATATCCCTCTAAGGTGGTAGGTTTCACCACTTGAGGTTCTAACGCCGCCTTTGCCCTAAAACCCAAAGCCCTAAACCACTAAACCCCTCCAGGAAAGCGACTTCAGTATCCTTATAGCACTCTTAAAGGAACCCTGTTATAGTACCCTGTCAGTACCCTTAAAGGAATCCCCTAAACTCTAAACCCTAAAACCTAAACCCCAAACCCTAAACCCTAAACTCTGAACACTAAACACTAAACCCCTAAACGCTAAACTCTGAACCCAAAGCTCTAAACCCTAAACACTAAACACTAAACTCTGAACCCTAAACAATAGACCCTAACTCTATAAGCTCTAAACCCTAAACACTAAACACTAAACTCTGAACCCTAAACTCTAGACCCTAACTCTATAAGCTCTAAACCCTAAGCCCTAAACGCTAAACCCTAAACTCTGAACCCTAAACCTTAAGCCCTAAGCCCTAAACTCCCTAAATGCTAAGGCGCAAAGCCTCCACCCGCAACTCTGGTGCGAAAGCACGGGCTTAAGCTTTAGGTTTTAGGGTTTAGTTTAGGGTTTAGGGTTTGGGGTTCAACTAATCTAGATCATCTGCGAACTGCTACCTGAAGTGCCTTGGCATCGTGAGGTAGGGGCTTTACTCGCCGTCCCGGTAGCTGCCAGTGTCGAAGAGGCTTTATCCTCGCTAGCAGCGGCAGGTGCCCGCCAGTCTTCCATTTTCCCAGTGGAAAGTTGTCCTGTGGACACGCGTGCTTGGCCGGGCCACCTGCTGTGATATTCCTAGTCAGGATAAAGTCAATCTGAGTGCTGGACTGACCCTGCTGGTAAGTGTGGGCAGGGGAGGCATGCCATGTGTTCAGTGCGACAAGCTGCTGAGATTGGAGAAGAATGGTCAGCTCCGCTTCGTCAGGCCTTGTCTCCTCCGGAGTGAGGACCTGCGTGCCCACCAGACGGGTGGTGCTTGCTGGCCCTATGCCGCTGAATCCCTGAACCCTAAACCCTAAATTCTAAATCCTAAACCCTAAACCCCAAATCCGACCTCGCCAGAAGCCTGGTTTGGGTCTGGGGCTTTAGGGGTTTAGGGTTTAGGGTTTAGGATTTAGGGTTTAGGGTCCAGGATTTGGGGTTTAGGGTTTAGGGTTTATACACTACTGGAGCCTCAAAAGCCGATAAATCCTATGTGCTCTCCCGAAAACGTATTGCAGAACCCAGCCCTCCAACCCCAAAGCCTTGGATCTTTCTAGAGCCTCCAAGGAACCCGACACCCTAAACCCTAAAACCCCTGAGCCCTAACATAATTCCCCAATAAGCCAGGAAAGTAAAAGCTTAAACCTTCAGATTGCCACTAAACTATAAGCGCTCAAAAAGATTAAAGGTTGGCTATTGGAGCACTAAGCTAAGCCTTAAGAACCCCAAACCCTTTTTTTTTGTAGGTTCTTATTATAAACCCTAATATGGGATTTAGAGGG